AAAAATGTATTAAAAATGATAAACATTTAAATAAGGTGGTCAATTTTTTTTTCTATACAACATGAATCATCATAAAGTTAAGGGACTTAACAATGAAGATTTATACTCGTGAAAAAAGTGTTTGATTTGATAAATTCTACTGATGGTGACATAAAACATGTAGCTTGAATACTTTGGGGAACAACCCTTGGAAATATTGCCCCTGCTGCTTAACACCCATTCCAACGTAAAACAAATGTCCTAAATGGCTTTGGAGCCAGTATGTCTGACAACTGGGTGTGTTAGAGTGTGACTCAGTACCTATAATATAACATTTGCTTAGTCCAAGCACTCCTCTGAGATACATATGTTACATGATGCGTGTCATTGTGCCTGAAGGAGAGCAGCACAGTCAAGTGGCCTCATTTAGCTCTGTCTCTCTGTTGTTTGACCAACCCACTGTGAAACTATTATGCCTGCAGGTTATGTCACAGAGGAAGTGAAAGCATGTGGCAAAGTATCAAGAAAAAAAAACTGAACTGGAAAAAGAAAATTCCCAGGGTCACCTTAAAAGCATTACTGAGGAGGAGGCATTTATACCCAGCAGTGGAGTATAAAGTGTCTTCACTTGCCCAGTATTCAGTAGTCCTTCTTTATCGTGGATGTTTCCGTACCTTGCACCCATCGTGATAAGTGAAAAAACGTTAAGCAGGAATAGTTAATACAATTTTCTTTTATTTGTTCTTCTCAATTTGTATGCTTTTTATTTTTTTGTCTGCTGTCGTCATCACTCTTTATTAAAATCAGGTCTCTTGTAAATGAGTCTTTGAGGCTCAATGGGACTAACCTGTATAAATAAAGGTTAAAAAAATAGTAGTACAAGTAGTAAATAGTAGTTTATTTTAGTATATATATACATATATATATATATATATATATATATATATATATATATATATATATATGTATATGTGCGTGTGTATATACATATATATGTATATAAAAGCATTTTAAATCCTTCCCACACTCTTGCAATATTCTAAACAATTTTCTAAACTCTAAACGCTCTAAAAGAACGCAGCATGTCATGATCTCCACTGCCAGCGCTCTAGGCCACGCCCCCTTCTCCGCTGCAGAGCAGAGATCCTGACAAACTGCAGGGGGAAGCTTCTCCAGCGGCTGTGGGCTGCACACAGGTACAGCAGATGATAAATAATTTAAAATAATTAATTTTAAATTAAAAAATTCATGCCGATCATGCGGCTCATCCATCAATCAGCCAATTATGTTTCATGTCCAATCTTAATAAAAAAAAAATTAAAAAAAAACTTGAAATAGCGAGTCCACAAAAGTCGAATCGCAAAGTAGCGAGGGACTACTGTATAAAAATGAAATCAAACAAATGAAACAGTTTGCTGAAATATGAATGTTCTAAATAAAATGCATGTTGTGTTGCAATCACGTGTTAAAATTTGTTTAACTTTTGTTTTAACGGATTGCTCTTTTAGTTGGGTGTTTATTTTTTATGAATTTAATAAACCCAAGACAGGCTGGGGACCTTTAGTCTCTCAGCTGGCTGAGGAACATCTGGGAATCCTCATAAAAGAGCTGGAAGATGTGGCTGTGAAAGGACATGTCTGGGCCTCCCTGCTCAAACTGCTGCCTTCAGGAGCCGAGGCCGAAACAAGCAGAAGAGAATGAATGAATGAATGAATGAATGAATGAATGAATGAATGAATGAATGAATGAATGAATGAATGAATGAATGAATGTTTTGTAAATGGGGCATTTACGCTAAACTCTAACACAACCTAATGATAAAATGTGTTACTTTAAGTACACTTTGTTGCACATGTACAGAAACAGTTGAACAGTCACCATCAAACTGAATTACAAGCAACAAAAACAAAGACTGTCGGTCATTTCTCACCATAATTTGATTTTAGTGTCAAAATGCAATGAGCGATATGCGGTTTGTGTTTCATAAATTGAGATCAACCCATCTTTTAACAAAATATTCTGAAGGAAATAGATAAAATAAAATAAAAAAAAGCCATTAATGTGTAATGGGAGTATCTCTTTCTTTCTTTATGCCAAGCTCCATCCCCATGTTTGGGTTGAAGAAACCTCCAGTTACTAAATCACCCAGGTTGGTAATCCAAATGGGATTTATTTTGCTTTCAGCTGTTGAAACAACATTGGTTTAGCTCAAATGCATCCATGGGGATCTTTATTTTTTATTAATGCACTAATAGATATTCTCAAAAAACACCATTGTGCTGCTCTGTTGCTGTTCCCAATCGATGAGCTTGATTCTGATTCTGATCTCTGTTTCTTGTATCTGTCCCTGTCTAATTAACAATAAATAAATAAATTCTCGCCTGCCTGATTAATCAATGAATAATCGAGAACCAGCCCACTGCTGCCCATGAAGCATTTGAGTTCACACCTTAGCAAGAATTAAAGCACCTGATGTAAAAACCTTTTGAAACAATCATCGGTAAAAAACAAGTGACTGAAGAAACAAGTTGTGGCATAAGCAGGTAAACTAAGACAAGAGCAAAAAAAAAACAGTTTGACTAACCAAATAAAGAAAAAATAAACCTGAGAACAAACTGAAGATTTCATAAAAGAAGACAAAACATTCAGAACAAAGACCTGACAGAAAATAAAAAGTGAACAACAGACACATCACATGTGGTACGATTAGCAAATTAGGAGTGGGTAAGAGAAAAGGGGAAACACAAGAGGCTGCACACCCTTTGCAACCCAGCTGACAAAACATCATGATGAGTGGGTAGAAGTTTCACTCCACTTGAAAATGTGTATCAGCTGAGGAGTCAATCGAATGCCCCGCTCAGCAGCTAAACCAGCTTATGACCATTTTGACCGATGTAAAGAAAAAAACACGACATTGTCAATGCCAAGATCAGAATGTATTGAATAAAGTCAGCAAATATGCTGAAAAATGACCTCTTTGTTTATCAGTGGGTGTTTTTAGCATGCTTATGTCTCCAATACACATGCAAGTTATTAAATGTCAGTGAAACAAACAGATCATACCGACTGATTGTCCCTGATTTAAAGTGACTCCTCTCTCCACCAGCAAAAGCTTTGTCTTCTATTTACAAGGAAGATCCTCCTTCCCCACTCCCAGACTACAAAATCTGGAAAGAGCTAAAGTACATCACGGAAATAACAAAAAGTCTTTTAATTCTCTCACCAGGACACAGGACTTTACCTTTCTAAGAACAGTACACTGTAACGCTCTAAATGTGTCATTGTTTAGATGTGGGCTAGACGGCTGGAATCACCCCCAAAGTTTTAAAATTTATGTCAGCTGAAAAATCCTGCAACAAACTACTTCATTTCTAAACTCTGACAATATTTAGCTGGAGCCTCACAAACAGACAAAAATAAAGAGTGCTGTGCTTTCTTGTCTGCACTGCTCTGATACTTCTGTTCCTGTCCGTTGTCTAAGGGTCCATGTAGTCAGCCATTGTGTTTGATTTAGTCGAACGCTCAGCAAACACAACATACAGTGCATGCTCATTCACAGGCTCCCCTAGCTGCATGTTTTACAGGACCGTGGGCTTTTATTTTGAGAGGGCAGGAGGAAAATCAATCTAGCTTGCCCTTTAAAACAATTCACAGTTGTAGTTTCTCAGGGGGCTAGAATGAGCTGCTGCATCCCACTCGCTGAAGTCTCACGGACAAGATGTTCTGGTGTCAGTCTGCTGTCTCAAATTATTTAAGACTCCTTGAACTAACCAAGAAGATGATTTAAATACTATACATATTTATGATATTACGTTATATTTTAACCATTGCTATTGCTATGCATTTCTCCCTCAGTTACAGCCAAAGGAGGGTATCATTCAGCCATGAGCACAAATAAGAAAGATGCTAAAATTCAGGGCAATGAGCTTTCTGACACCATTTTGTTTTCCTACCCATGAACAAGAGCCGTCTGTGACAATCCGGGTTTCATTCAACGCTAGATTGCTCAGTAATCCATGGAAAAAATAAAAAAATAAGAAAGTGTAAAAGCATAGCTGCAGGACAAAATGAAGAGGATTACAGATGGATTACCTGTGTTCGGATTCATGGATGGAGAATATAACTCCTGATGTGGAGGACTTCTGCTGGATGGTGGCCAAGAAGGTAAATTCACTTTTACTCCTGAACAGTTGCACCACTTTTTCTGTGATATGTGGCGGAGCGTGAACTGCTCTGCCAACATCTGAAAAAGTGAAACAGAGAGAAATCATACGTTTGTAACTACCCACCTGCATATTAATTTGCCAATAGCATGAAAAAACTTTATAATCATGTGTAAAAACATAAAAGGCACCTTTGCACATGCACAAAACATCTCAAATAGCTGGCAGATCCATTGACATGTGTCTAAAATAAAAAATAAAACAAATCTGATCATGCCAGCAGGCTTCAGATAACAACTTAAAACTATGACAATGAGTTTTATGTAGGATATGTGTTTGTCAACACCAAAGATATATTTGCCCATTGTACAGCAGTCCCTCGCTTATCACAGGGGATACGTACCCTGAAGACCCGTGATAAGTGAAAAACTGCAAAATAGGAATATAGGAATAGTAGTACAAGTAGTAGTTTATTATAAATATATATATATATATATATATATATATATATATATAT